AACATACATACAAACATCAATGCGGATATACAACTATCCATAAATGTCTTTGAAGCAAGATGAATGGTTCGTGTGTGGATTATATGCAATTTAAAAAAAAAACCAATAAGACACCAACATGGGAAAGTTACATGAGTGAAATTATGACGTCATTTATCATCATTATCATAATTATTCATGATCATTGCAAAGGTCAAGGTCGTTTTCAACATCATCATCGTCATCATTTGCATGCTGATCATCATCGTCATTTAAAAATTTTTTTCATCAGTTTCATCATCAATCATTATTATCGCCATCATCATAGTCATCATCGTAATCGTCATCACTCAGAAACAAAAACCTCATCATCATCAGCATCGTCTTCATCACTATCATCTTCTTCCGGTTTGCTTCATCATCCGTCAAACTCTTCAACCTTGATTTTTTTCTGCCGGCACATACAGTGGGGATCAACGAAATATGTGTCCACACAAAAACATGCACTCAAAAAAACACATACACACACAATAATACTCTTACATCTACTACTACTACTACTACTATTACTACTACTACTACTGCTATTTCTACTACTACTACTACTACTACTACTACTACTACTACTACTACTACTAAAATGATGATGATGACGCTAGTAAACCACGAAATCCAAAATGATAAGACGAGATGATTCACAATGAATGCTGACTGACTTTCAGACTCGTAATTGTGGATTGTGGCTTGAAGCTATTGAGATGAAGATGATGACTACGGTGATTAATGTTTTTCCCTCTCTATCTCTCTCTCCTCTCTCTCTCCCCTCTTTCTCTCTTACACACACACACACCACACACACACATATATGAATAGATATTTATGTGTTTATAAATATTTCTCCTTTTAATCATTCGATAATCACATTTCCACCTTATTATACCATAGTTAAATATAACTATACATATTATACATATTTATAAATGAAATATAAGATTTCGCCACATTATCATAATATATTAATGAGATATATATTATGCGTATATTACCTGCCTGGTATGTATTTAAAAATATTTCGGTCCTTAATTGAGACGGTCAGAGCAAAAATTTTTTGACGGTTTTGATGGCTTGATAGGTTTCCTTTGAATCAATTTAGCGCTATTTTTAGTTTTAAAATATAAAAAATTATCCGACTACCACTGCTACTAATACTAATTTTACTACTACCATTACTACTGCTACTACTACTAATTTTACTACCACTACTACTACTACCGCTACCGCTACTACTGCTGTTTTTATTATTACTACTGTTATTACTTAATTTAATTAGGTATTTGAATTTAAACGAATGACAATATAATAGATATATTCAGAGAGAGAGAGAGAGAGAGAGAGAGAGAGAGAGAAAGAGAGATGAGAGAGAGAGAGAGAGAGAGAGAGAGAGAGAGAGAGAGAGAGAGAGAAGTAAGAGAAATGATGATGACGATGTTGATGGTGATGATAGTCGTGGTGGTGGTGGTGATGATGTTGATGATGATGACGACGAAATGAGAATGGAGACTTATGTTTAATGATGGGCTGGTTTCGTGCGATGAATAAGAAGAAAAAAGTCATGTACGTACATGGGTACGTGTGTAATCTCTGTGTCTGTGTGTATCTGTGTGTGTCTGTGTGTGTATCTGTCTGTGTGTGTGTCTGATAGCTTGTTTGTTTGTCTGTGTTTCTCTGAGTAATAGTGCGTTCTTATTTGAGAATTAATTCTGTATGTATTACCACACACGTTACTACGCAGTTTTTTCATTTAGATATTTTGTGCACACAAACTTGGTTTTTGCTTCTCGGAGCAATGAACTCACTTATCCAAAATAAAATATGGTGTATTTCTATCCGTGCATATACGTATATGTTTGAATGTGTATGTGTGTGTGTGTGTTTTATGTATGAGTGTGTGTGTTGTATGTGTGTTGTATGTGTGTATATGTGTGTGTATGAATGTGTGTGTATATTTAATATGTACGTTGTATATGTTTAAAAAAATTTTTTGGCATACAGTTTGTGAATGTGCATGCGTGTGTTGGTATGCGTGTGCGTAAATGTGTGAGTGTGTACGTGTGCGTGCGTGTGTATGTGCCTGTGTAAGTCCGTCTAATTATGCTGTCACACGTGCTGAAGAGCATCTTGAAGGAGTTGTTATCTTTGTCAACATTTCAAGTCGACCATTGTTTCTGCTACTTGTATGGCTTTCTATACATTCTATAGAAGTGTAAATACAATTTACGTTTTGTATATAATAATATAGATATGTATATATATATAAATATATATATGTGTGTGTTTGTGTGATTGTTGTACAAATTCACTCAATATACACAACAATTGTATAAACGCAAATAAATAATTAAATAAATAAGCATATACAATTACAATTTTTTGCTGCTGGGCTTGTTTAATGTGTTCCTTCTCAAAAGTCTGAAGATTTTATGAAAATTACTCTAGCACGCTCCTTTCCTGGGCATAATTTTTACGTTAATATTTTGATTCTACATTGTTTGTGTATGTGTATGTGCGTGTATGCGTGTATGTTTGTGTATGTGTGAGTGTAAGTGTGTAAATGTGTGAGTGTGTTTAGAGGTATGTTCGTTAATAAAAAATCTGAATTATGTATGCAAAATTTTGATGCGATAAATATAGGTAGGTATCCACACACACAAATACACACACAAACAAATACACACACACACAAATACACACACACTCACAAACGCACACACAGACACGCATACACGCACGCACAGACACACACATACAGACACACACACACACCAACAAAACTTCCCCAGATAATTTGCGAAGTTGAAGTACAACCGTGCTTTTGTTGTTGTCCATTGTTGTGTGAGCAGCGATGCAAGCATGTAACACTATCGCTGCGTTGCCTCAGATTTCAATGGATTGAGAATGTTTAAGAAAAATTTAATGAAAAGTTTCAAGAAAATAGATCGAATGAAAAAACAGAAAAACAAAACCAGAAAAAATGTCAAAAAGAGAAAAACAGAGAGGGAGGGAGATGGAGATAGAGAGAAAGAGAAGGGGAGAGGGGGAGAAAGAAATAAATGATTGAAATGAAAGGAGAGTGAAATTAGAAAAAAATAAAATGAAATACAGTTACTACTACTACTTCTAGTATTTGTATTAATAAATTAAGTAATTTCTATTCAGTAAGCACAAGGGCTTGGGGCGGGTTGACTTTAGTCAGAAAGCTAACAGACTCGTGACATTCAATTTAAAATTTATTTAGCTCTGAGCAGTGTAAGCTTCCATAGGGTGACCGATTAGACGCGCGAATAAACACACACACGCACACACACACACGCACGCACACATACACGCACACGCAAGCAAATGCGTTTGTGCGGTTTGCATTCATGGGCACCCACTCGTGTTAAAACTTACGTACTGATACATTCTTAAAATAACTTTCTATAATAAAAATGTATCAATACGCAATTCATTCAGCGACGGTACGTACACGTGTACAATTGTACATCTGGAAGCTGAACACATTTTTTTATAAACGTAATACAACGAAAGGCAAACATTCACGCATGCAATTCTGAACATGCAAGTCAACTGAACCAACTACAACAACTTATAAATATCTTCAGAGTAATTTTGTTGAAGAAATAAAATGCACTAATTAACTATTCGGATCGGCTTTTATTACCGATTTTTATTTTCTTCAAACGGACGCCATACATTTTGATAGAACCAACTTCTTTGCCATTGAATCCAGAGAGTCTGCACGCACACACACACCACACAACACACTCTCACCTCACCACACGCACAGGCAAACACACACGCACATGCACCATACGCACACATACACATACACACAAGCAAACTACATATTTACATATTCAATTATTTGTTTGACTATTTATTTTTAATAAAATCTCTCTAAATATTTTTATTTCATTTTGAAAAAAACAGAACAAAATAAAATAATTTAATTAGTCACACAGATGCTCAGAGCTGACTTTTGGCGTGCAAAAATGTCTCAATTTTTATCTTGCGAAGAAATAAAATTTCTTGAATCCATTGAATCCTGAGAACTAATTTATTGTGTCTGGAGCTATCGAAATGAATTGACGGATGGCCTATGTATCATATACGTGACTCAACTTGCTTTTAGCGAAATAAAAAATTTAGGAAGAAAATTTTTTTGCTAAAAGGTAATATTTTTAGTTTTCTTTTGTTTATAAATAATAATTTAAAGAAAAAATAAAAAATGAAATAAAATTAATTTATGTAAGCAAATAAATGACATTAGTATTGTTGTTGTTGTGATTATAATGCTATGAACAACATTAAAGTTTTTGCTCTGCGGTTGTTTTGTTGTTGTGCTGCAAATGACTCAGTTGTATAAATTGTGGTTGTTGTTGGTGGCGACGATGAATGTGTGGCTGGCAGCAGAAGCAGGCATGGCATCCAAAGCTAAGACGACGTTTGTTTAATCTTTGAATAATGTTGTTGTTGTTGCTGGTGATGTTGTTGTTGTTGTTGATGTTGTTGTTGCTGCTATTTATAAACAATCTCATTGGGAGGGTAGCTGTTGTTGATGTCGTTGCAGTCGATGTCGTTGTTGATTTCTTCTCATTTAATACAGTTATAACTTTGCTTCTGCTGCTAACACTAAGACTGTTGTTGTTGTTATTGTTGTTGTTACTGTTGTTGTTGTTGTTGTTGTTGTTGTTGTATGAGGATGTTGATGGGAACACATTGCATGAATCGACTGATGCTGCTGCTGGGGTCACATTTTTTTTGGTCATTCGTTTCTTTGAAGTGCAATTCGTGCAATTTTCTGTGTGATCGTTGAAGTTTTTAAATATATATTTTCATATTTTTCTATCAATATATTTGGTGGAATGATTTTCGAAGTCATTATTGAACTTTTTATCTCTAATAAATTTGATATAGTGAAGTTTTTAATTACGGAATGTTAAAAAATGTAAAAAAAGCTGTTAGTTTAAACCTTTGCTCCAACTGTATGGTTCTGGCCTGACTGTCAAATTGTTTCTAATGTTGTTGTTGTTGTTGACATTACTACAACTACTGTTGTTGTTGTTGTTGTTGAGAGCAATGTTGTTGTTGTTGTTATGGTTGTGGTAATAGACCGTAGAGTTGTTGATGTAACAGTTCTGATTGGCGTAGTTAACACTGGCGTTTGGCGAGGCATGCTTCATGCGACACATCTCACACATGGTCTTGCGGAAAGATGGGTTGACGATGCAGTAGAGGATGAAGTTTGAGGAAAAATTTGTCGACTGCATGATGTTCGTCACAACTTCAATCAGGATGTACGTGTGGTTCGACTCGGTGTTGGTAACGGATGTCGATGCTAAGTGTTTTAATAACTCCGACGGAGCTACCAGCACAAAGAACATCAGAACAATGCAGAGGAGGGTTATAGTTATTCGCTGGCTAGCTTCTGAATCGCTGTTTGTGGTGACGTTGTTGACTGAGCGATTCATGAGTCGACGTAGTGCGTAGGACAGGTGAATCTCTCTTGCCAGTGCCAGGTTTGTGAAAAACAACATGAAGAAAGGCAGAAAGTTGCCAAAAATGACCCAAAGAATTCGGTATGATTGTTCCAACGTATCGTCCAATTTGTTCCGAAACTTGACTCGAGTCGTAATATCATATTCGGTTGAGTTAGCAGAGGCTGAGCTCATCATCGGAACGAATGGTTCTGTAGCGGTTACATTGTCTAACTTTTGCTCCGTCTGATTCGGCGATGTATCATTTGTGCGAATGGGATCGGTTTTCAGAAAGTGAAGATGTTTATGATGCACTAAATGCTCTCCTTGATGGCCACACAAAAATGCTTGCGTCAAACTAATACGGTTGTCATCAGCGTCGGGTTTTTCATTTCGAATCAAATGATCAGCAGCAACAAAACCGCATTTATCACCGAACACATCAACACATCTCTCACCCAAGCATCTACTTCCGCCGATACTTGTAACACCGTCACAATCAGTTATGCTATAGTTACCGCATCTTATTTCAATTTCATATCGCCAGAGCGTCGGTGCATTGAATAAAGCAGAGAGCATATATATAAGAACGATGACGGTCCTGGTTCGACTGAGTGTGAGTATCTGACGGCTGGCAAGGGGGTGGCATATGGCAAGGTACCTCTCCGTGGACATCATCACGGTCACCCAGGTGCTGGTCAGTATGAATACGCTGATGACCGCTGGCGAGTAGGCGGTGTAGTAGGCTTTAAATCCTGGCAGGCCTTTGTTGGATGAGGATGGGGACGATTGTAATGATGGTGAGAGTGAAGATTGTTACATGGATGTTTACAATTAGGTGGTTAATTAGAAAAATGTTTATGAGGAAGTATGCTGAAAATTATGATGATGATAATAATTAAGACGACGATGGCGAGAGTGGTCATTTTAGAGATGATGATGATAATGACGATAAGAATTGAAATAAAGAGAACAGTACTGTTGCCATTGCAACGAAAAATAAAGAAGTGTTAATTAAATTTGGACATGAGTGAGACTGCTCAAGGAATTGAACTTTTTGAATGTTGAAAATTAATTAGATTAATTAGATTAATTAGCATAAAACGAAAATGATAAATATTTAGTAATACGAATGATAAACATTAATAGGTTTATTAAAAATAATTAAAATGATGACGAAAATATTTAGAATAAGATGTCTTGTAACATAAATATTGTAACACGATCCGTCTAGTGTTATTTATCTTACGTATTTAATGTTGTTTCAATTTAACAAGCAAATTCTTTCATCTTGAATAAAAATTATCGTTCGAAAATTTTCTGTTAAACCAAACACAATGGCAAAAAATCAGGTCCTAACTGTAAGCAATTAAGGATTGTTTAACAAATTTTGTTTAAACAAAATTAGAATAAAACATATTAAAACCAAAATACATATTGATATCTTTGTATTTATATGTTTGTATTATGCTTATATATGTGTCTGTTTGTATGTATGTGTGTGTGTGATTGTTTGTATGTGTGTGTGTGTGTTGGTACCTAACTGAAGCAAAAATCATCAAACTAACCTGGAAATATCATATCAGTGGAGGTAAATGCGAATGGGAAAGCAGACGTGCAGAAAGCCAAATCTGACACAGCTAGGGCTATAAGGCCTGACATGTGAATGTTCATATTTCGTGTTTGTGTTGATACTGTTGTCATTGATGTCATATTATTGTTTTGTTGTTGTTGTAATGTCGTCGTTGTTGTTGTTGTGTTGTTGTTGTAATGTTGTTGTTGTTAATGCTGCAGCTATGTCACTTTTACTACTGTCGAAATAACAACAACAATTACGGTACAGTAAAAGATGAAAGTAAATTTTTGCTGAAGCAATTAAATAGCGCGAGATCAAATATTTCTTCGCGACAACTTCTTTAAATTTTTTCGTAGAAATATTAGAATTGGAAGCCATCAAGAAAATTCTTCAACAGTCATTAAAATTTAATTATTTTAACAAATATTATTTTTAAAATATTTCGCCATGTTTTTTCCACCTTAAAATTATATTTTTATTTCTTTTCACAACTTTTTACGGCAGGTCTGCTACGCAATTAAATTTATTTTTAAATTTTTCAATTCATTATTAAGCTCCGTAGAGTAAAATTTAAAACGTGACAATATGGAAAAAATCAAAATTTAAAAATTAAAAAAAAAAGTAATAAATATCTGTCGAAATGTCGTCCGTTGTTTGTGGCGCCAAAAATTGTTGCCGAGAAACAAAAAGGTTGAAGAGTCGTGTGACTTATAAATTTGACAAATTTTTCACGGAAAATAATAATTCACGTCAACAATCATCACAAATAGACCAACAACAATCATTTAGATTTAATTTTAAATTTTAAAATTACAATAAAATAGACTAGCATACCTGAGTTGGCTGATTTTTCTGACTGTCTAAGGGAGTGCTGAATCCTTTTGCCAGTTAGAATCAGTAGATTCATAAGGTTACCCACAAAACCTAAGGTCAAAATTACGGGTAGTATGTAAGTGTAGCAGTGGTTTGCAATGGCGATGTATAACTCCTTCTGGTCTTCGTCAAGGTTGTTTATTTTTGGTGATGTCGTTGTTGTTGTAGTTGACATTGTTGTTGTGGATGTCTGTTGGTGTCGGTAGAAATGACGATGTTGTTGTTGTTGTTGTTGCGTGATTATGTCGTAGAATGGAATGTGCTGCTGATGTTTTTGCAAATGTTGAAATGTTTCTAAGATATCTTGAACCATTGTTGATGAAATTTTGAGATGGTTTTTTTTCTTATTCCAAGGTTCGAAAGAAACTTCTGTCAGAATTTAATTTGGTTTTTCATGAAATATTTCAACTATTATTTTACAAAAATTTTTTTACTTCAATTAGAAATTTGCTGACATGTTGACATTTAATTTTTATTTTAGTTGATGTGATCTGAAATCCTCGGCAAAAGAGCGGCTTAAACATTAATGCCAGCATTTTGTTGAACGAAAAGTTATTAATGTCACTTAGGTAGTTGTAGTCGAAAGATGCGATTGATGTTTTTAATGTATTCTGTCATGTTATTTATTGATGCTATGGTTTCGTTGAAAATGTTGAGTTTTATTGAGATATTGGTTTTGTCGTTATGCAGATTATGTTTTTACCACAAGGGCAAAGAACCATAGAATAAAACTACACCAATAAAACAAAAATCAATAACAGATAAACTAAGTCTATGACCAAAGAACGAAGATAGCATCAACCTTATAAAATACCACAGCAATGAACGATAATATAGAAATATCCAAAAGACAAATATTGTTTTTATGAAAAACTGAAAACAACAAAATGACTACAGGTATAAACTCATACCACAAAGTTGTAAGACGAAGATGTGAAACACATCAACAACAACAACAAAAATAACAACAATACTACTAAACTAAGATATAAAACTTCCCATTATAACATAAAAAACAAAACAATAATAATATCAACAGCATGAACACCAAAAACAACAACACCAACAATAACAACAACAAAAACATCAACAAAAACAACAACAACAACATCAGCACTAACAACAACAACAACAGAATCTTTAGCACTAACAACAATAACAACAACCATAACAACAACAATAACAACAACCATAACAACAACAATAACAACAACAACGCTAACCACATCAACAACAACCCTACATCAACAAAAAATAACATCAAAAACACATCAGCACCTTACAAGACCATGCAATCACATCGACCTGTTGTAATTCAATTTGTGCCAAACATGACAAAGAACCACAGAAAAGCAATAATAAAAATAACAATAATGAGAAGAAATTATTATTATTAATAATAAATAAAATAATTAATAATTAATAATAATAATGGTAATAATAATGCAAATTGTATTTCAACACGACAAAAAAAAGAATAAAGAAAAAAAAAACAAGAAGTAGAAGGAAAAGAACCCGACTCCACAAACAATACAACGCGCCTTCGTGTGACGTCATCGTAAAACACAGGAACACGTGACATCAAATTAAAAGAGAACTTAAATTGAAATATGAGAGATTAAAATGATATAAAGAGTCAGAGAAGAAACTGTAAAAGAAACAAAAGAGAAAGAGAGAGAGAAGAAAATAAAAGAAAGAAAAAAAAAGAGTAGAGTCAAATTTTAAAGAAGAAATTTTAGGAGAATGAATGAAAGAGTGAGTGAGAGGGTGAATAAGTGAGTGAGTGAGTAAATAAACGAATGAATAAAGATAAAAGAGAGAGAGAGGGAGAGATAGAGAGTAAATTTTGATGTATTTGGAAGATAATGTGGAACTGTTTTCGTTATTATATCAATGACAACATGGTCACTGTTATAACAATTTTTTAATAATAATAATCATCATCACTCTTGGGCCTCGTAAAAATTGTTATGTGATGATTGTAGAGCTTAGTCAGCTCAACAGAGCGGTTATTCGCGGTGCAATAATAATCGCAACAACAGCAGTAATAAAGTTTACTATTATTAATGCTGCTGATACTACTACCACCACCACCACCATCACTACTACTAATACTAACACTACCACTACCACTACTACTGCTAATACTAACACTACCAATACTACCACCACCACCACCACCACCACCACCACCACTACTACTTCTACTACTACTACACTACTACTACTACTACTACTACCACTACCACTACTACTACTACTACTAGTAGTAGCCTCGCTACTACTACAACTGCTGCTACTAGAAGGGCTAGTAAAACCACAGTTGTAATTGTTATGCAAGCTATCTGAATAATTGCTTTTGTATCTAGGCAAAGAGGTTTTAAAATTCGCACTCCAATAAACTTAAAACTACCTCCTTACATTTATGAATGCGTGCATAAATAAATAAATAATTCCATGATGTAGAATGTGTAAATTTAGTCATAGACATACAAATATATACAAACATATACAAACATATACAAACTTATACAAAATTATACAGAGTTACACAGGCCCACACAAACATTTACATTCAGTGTGACACAAACTTGTAAAATGCCATTCAGACACATACAAACTCATACAATTTTTCATCTTGTATGACACATACAAATTTATACAATGTTTCACAAACATGTGAATTTATATAAACATTAGAACTTGTATAAATGAACAGAGGCGTCAAAACATACGCAAACAAATGAAAAGCATATACAAAGTTGTAAAAACATATACAAAATTATGCAAACATAAACAAGCTTATACAAATATTCAAAAATGCATGCAAACCCATAGAAACGCAAAAACCACTTTTAAAAACATTTATTTATTTATGAGAATTTCATCTTAAGAATCGCCAACATAACTGCCATAACTACTTTGGTTTTTTATTGCATGTAATATAAACATTGCAATAATAAGCAGTCATATAAATAGTGCCACACACACACACACACACGCACCACACACACCACACACACACACACCACACACACACACCACACACACACACACACACAAATACACACACACAAACACACACACGTGAACTCATAAAATAGCGATTTAATCAGCTAGCATCCCACTAAATAATACTCCCGACATTTAATTAAGGTACTACAAATCAAATATTACAACTTTTACTCATAAAAAGAATTAACACATAAAATATTTACTCTAACTGAAGAAATTTTATGGCAACAATGATTTATATCACATCGCAACAACTTCGCCTCTGCCAGCACGCAAAACTGAAAATTTTTTTCATTTATGGTTTATGATCTCATTTCAATAGAAAAGATAGGAAAGATTCCGATACTCGTGTTACTAATGTTACTAATTTGATTGTGTTTTTTTTTATTTCTGCGTTTGTCTGTCAGTATACACACACACGCACATACACACACACATACACGCACGCATGTACTTGTACACACACGCACACAAACATGAACCGAAAAGCAAGAACGACCACCGACTCTTGTTATAGCAGCCAAACGATGCAAATAACAAAAGGTCCAACTAATTATCTTTCCACTGTTTTTTTTATTTTTTTTTTATTTTTATAACTATGTCCTTGTTTTATTTCGTTTTTTTCCCATTTTCGCTGGTTTTCAGTTTTTCATTTTTTATTATCGCATTATTTTGCGACTATCTTTTTAATGTTAGTTCTTTCTATTCCCTTTTTTTCTGTTTGTCACTCTCTCTCTCTCTTTCTCTCACTTTTTCTCTTTCTCTTTCTTTTTTCTCTCTTTCTTTCTATTTCTATTTTTCTTTTTCTTCTTTCTTTCTTTTTCTCTGTCTGTCTTCCTCTTCTTGAATCTCTCTCTTTTTCTTTTTAAAAGAAGTCCTGAGAGTCTGGCGATAAAACACGTTGCAGAATCATAAATAAAGAATTAAGGACACCATCTTCGCTACCACTATCACCATCCCTTCAGACTCGAGTCTACGTTAGCTTTCTTCATATCAAAATTTTTTTTTAATTCTTTGGTGTTATTTCTCCTGTTTTGTTTGTTGTCTGTCTGTCCGTGTGTGTGTGTGTTTTGTTTGTTTGTGTCTGTCTGTGTGTATGTGTTAATTGGTGTGTGTGTGTGTTTGTTTGTGTAAGTTTCTTTATTTAATGTTTTTTATAATATTATTTGAATCAATTTTTTTTATTTAAATTTGTTGATAGATTTCATAAAAATTATTGGCCTATTTACACTGTCCGCATTAGCTAGTGAAAGATTCATTTACTAGTGGAGTATGTAGTATTTATAACGCTAGTAAGAAGTGTTAGTAGTAGT